GACAACCAAAAGTTGTACATGTGGCTAGTTGTACCCTCATCATAATTGTAAACGTTGTTAATTATCTAATAAAAAGCTCCCGGCCATAGAGGTCACTTAACACTGAAAAAAAAAAAAGAATTTAAGTGGATTTGGAATTTTATAGTTAAATTAAGGTTAGAGTTAGGGTGTGTATATGATGAAATAGGTTTTTTTATATAAAATTCTAAATTTACTTAAATTTTATTTCCACTTACAACATATATAAAAACTTGTACTATATAAATTAAAAAATCAGATAATTAACATTAAGCCTCTAGTTAGATGATCATTCAAAATAGCAGCTTTTCATTATGTTTAAATACCTAAAGAGAAATTATGTTTTAAATAGGTTAAATTACATATATTTGAAAAATGATCATCTTTTTTACTATAGTTTTTTTTTTTTTTTTTTTTTTAGTATTAAGGTATCCTCCTTGGCCTAGAGACTTTTTATTAGTAATCATTAGTTATTACAGTTACAATGAAGATATAACTAGCCACACATGTATCTTTTGGGTGCCTATTTAAGTAGTCCACCTTTAGGTAATACACTAGATGTCATACAGTCATACCTGAGTTATATTTTCCTTTTTTCTAGAGTATTTTTGAGGATATAAATAAGGTGGGGATATAACTAAAGTATAATCTAAATTAAGTATATATAGTCACATGATATTGAACCAATTAGAATTTAAAATTTTAAATAAGTATATATTATTGAGCAAAAATTGTTGAATAACGGCAATTTGGCAAATGAGTATGTGCCACTTTGCAGCATATGTAGCCAATCATTTGCCAAATTACTGTATTTGACAATTTGCCCAATAATAGTATTATCTAGCAATTTATAATCATGATTGATAGAGAGTCGCTCGCTGAGTTTTATTTTTTGAATATTGGAATAACATAATTATATCATAACACATGAAAAAATAACAGAAAGAAATTTTTTCATGATTATATGAGTTTGCTGGATAATATAGCGATAGTCTCAAATTTTTCGAATGACAGAACTAGATAATCGTTTTAATCGGATATCCGGTTCTTATTTCAGGTACCCGGTTGATAAAAGTATTCGACCCGACAGGTTACAGGTAGAGATTTTCAATCTGGTTTGGAACTCTAATTATTTTTATATATATTCTTTTTCAATCTATTATTAATAAATAATCATTAGCTTTGATTTAAGAGGTAGTCAAAATTTATATATAGATGATTATCAAAACAGCATGACAGAAGTTCTATTTAATTAGCTAAAACATATAATAAATGTGATTGGTCGATCTTAGTGTCGATCTTTTAGTCACGAGTATGATGTACCTTATAGTAGAAATGATTGGCTAAACGAGGGTACTGGTGGTGCTCTACCCACTTTCTATAAAAAAAAAATTTTGTCACGAAAAAAAAAAATTCAGATATCACGTAATTGTGTGAAATGACAACAATAAATCTCGGTCCCTGCTCAATTATTAACTGTGCCTATACTAATGTTAAGTTTCGTAAACTTACGAAGCTCGCATATGAAAAATGTCAGAAGAAACAAATGCTGGAGGTATACCCTTACCTTGAAGTTGGAATGCAACTTTGCCATCCACACTACTGTAAAGTTGTAGAGGTTGATAGAAATGAGCGAAGACGCAAAAAAAAAATACATAATAAAAAAAAAATTCTAGAGCCAATCGAACCTGTATCAAATAATAATACAGATAATAAGTTATATTTTACTTTTTTTTTTCTTTTTTTAATAAGGTTTAATTTTATTTAATTCGAATAGAGGAGCCTACATTTGCTTCGTATATAGAAATGTTAACAAAGGCATTATATTACAAACAACGTCGAGAGGGTACTAGTTTGGAACTAGATCCAGTAAAATTTGAATGTATGATTGAAGCTATTAACCCACAACTTAAGGGTTTTTTTAGTTATCTTATAAATGCAATTATTCCAAACGAACGTTCAACCTATAGTATAAATGAATCTAAAAAGTCAATTGTTGGCTTATGCTATATGTTAGCAGGTTTGCATAACAAATTTGTAAATCAACACAAGTTAGAAGTCAGATTATATTTAATAGCTTCGGGTGCAACATGGGAGGCAGTTAATACGATGTCAACTCTTGGATATTCGGTATGTGTTATAACGGTAGAAGAATACCGAAAACGGATTCAAAAAGAACATGCAACTAAAATTGAAAAACATTTTGTAGAAATTGTAAATGTAAATTAATGTAAATTATTAAATATTTATTAATAAATCTAATTGTATATCAATTATACATTATTCTATAGAAAAATTTGTTTCACATTTACAATATCGACGATTATCATGCAATTCACAAAAATCGTAGGCCTGATACTGTATCAACTTCGACCACGAATCATTTTGCTACTTGTGTAGCAAAACCGATTATAGAATATCCCTCTATGCAACTTACATTCAATGAAATATCAGTCCATAATCCAGAAAATATTGAAGCTTCGAGAATCTGCTGGTATTTACTAAAAGTATATACTGGGGTTTTTGATACTTCATATACGGATAATCAATTGCTTAAAATTTCACAAGGTTTAATAATTAATAGATTTGATCCGATTGAAATGCTAACTATACATAGTTATGCCGATAACATAGTGGAACGTAAAGAAGAGAGGTCAATGAAAGGGCTTCAGCTCGTAGGAATTAAGGAACAACACTTGCATAGCGTAGAGGATTATCTTAGTGCATTAAACATTATACTATCAATCAATAGTAAAACACAACACTTAGATGGACAAGTTGCACCTGTTGTGGCTGACTGGCCCGGCCAGCTCTTTATTAGAAAAATACTACATTCACAAAATACAAAATTCATTATTCCACAACAAATGAAATCATTTTTACCTATATTAGGCCCGCTTCATCTATCACTAAATAGTAGAGAATATATTATATTGATTTATCATTCTTTTTTTGAAAAAATGTTTAAGTTCATATTTGGCAAGAATAAAAAATTGGCAAAGAAACCTCGACCCTGGAGAATAAACCTTTTGTTAAAGCTTGTACGAAATGGTTAGACAAAAATAAAAGGTGATATTATTAAAAAGTTTGGAGTGTGCAAAGATATCGAGTATCGAATGATGATTGACTTACTTGATAATTTAATTCCATCGGCACTCGAAATCTATGCTACTTTATTTCGATCGGGTTTGTTCAACGAATATGTAGAGTCCGTCTTTCGTATTTGGACCTTTGCTATGCGTTGGAAGAGAAAAAACTATAATAAGGCCCCCCTTATATTTTTGTCTGACTTATTCTATTGGAATGATAATAATCATCCTTTTTTAAATATAATAAAAAATCATTTAACTAGCTTTAACGAATATTTTGTAGAAAATACCCACAGTCGAATTAGGGCAAACACATCAAAAAATGCAACAACAGACAACATCATAAAGCAAGCTTATATTATCATGGATCATGACCCTGCATTTAAAGACACATATAGTAAAGCACGATGATATCCATACAATATTACAACACTTGAGTTTTTATATGAAAAAATGGCACTTTTCCTTTTACAATATTTTCAAGAAGTATATTATAACTATGGAGGAAGTGTTCCAAAATCCAATGAAAAAATAACAAAAAAAAAAAATTTACAAGAAAAAACTACCAAAAAAAGCCCCACCAAAAAAACCCCTACCAAAAAAACCTCTACCAAAAACAACTCAAGAAAAAAGCCGCCGGAGACATACCAACTAGCTACTCTGAAAGAAGAAGTAGATTTGTGACACCTACCAACTGCATATAGCACATCTCATCCACCTCACCCCAAACTATGTGACAAGTGTGGCCTTCCATTTAGCGATGATAACAGCATGGTCTTTATTTGTGGTCATGGCTATCATGTAGATTGTTATAATAGGAGGTGTACTTATTGCGAAGAATACTATAAAAAAGGAATTTTCAAAAATGTCAATTCATTTCTTAAACGAATTGAAAAAGTGGAGAATAAACTTACCAAGGAAGATCTTGATGACGAAGAAAATGATATAGAGGAGAGCATGGAAGAAATTTCAGAGGAAATAGAGGAAACATTAGACATTTTGTCTAAACTAGCAGCAGAAATTTATCAAATTGAGCATTGGTAAATATACCAATAGAAAGATCAATAAATAAAGTCTGTGACTGAAATTCAAAACTATATTGCGTTAAAACTACTAGCTTTTCTTTCTCAATCATTTACTGAAATGTCAAAATAAAAGTTAATTTAAATTCATTTATATATTATTATACCCACTATAAAACTACCTCTAATAAAAGTCCTGCGGATCTCAATAATAGGTCACTAAAATTTACTTGCAACACACCTTACAAATGGTCTTGCTAAGTTTCATAAAGGATGGGCGATTCTTTGATATGCAGTCATATGATACATCTGATTTTCTTATAATTTTTATATTTAAAATCTTGTGTAATATTTATGCATAAATCGAATTTCTGTCATGCTATTTTTTGTAAGTTTATTTTATTACCTAGCCCTCTAGCTAGGCCCTCACGAAGCATGCATTTAAGCCAGTATTACACACCTGTATGCAATTGCAAATATACAACGGTTGGTTTACCAACCAGCATATATGGTGCCCAAAATGGAGGCTAGTGAGCTTGCTCACAGTCAGACTTTGCAGGCAAGTGATTGATTAGAGTAAATGCTGGATAAACTTAATATCCATAATTGAAGAATTGACATACTATATATCCCAAACTCTACTTTTAAGGATGGTGGTTTAGCATATCTGGCAAATTGCCGGGTACTACAATTTTATTATTAAATTACTAATAAATTTTCAGAAAATGTTTATCCGAATCTGAAACAAATAACAGTGGTAAAGTGAGTTTTTCAAAGGTGAATTTACTATATAATTTAATTAGACAGTGGTAAAGAAAGTTTTTCGTATATATAAAATTAATTAGATGGTGGTAAAGTGAGTTTTCTGAAATTTTTGAAAAATACCCATAAAAATTTCTGGAGAAAATTTATTATTAAAACGTTTTAATAAGTTATTTTATTACACTAAAATTTTTTCATGAAAAGTATTGCTATTTGTTTTACTTAAAAAGAACATATGCACTTCGAAGAAGGCCCAATGTATAGCAATCCTTTACAAAAAAACCCACTATGCTAACTTCAAGACATGTAATAAAAAACTTTTAGAGTGGATGATGAAATACTGGAATCTCAATTTTTACAAGAAATGGATATGAACTCGCAGAGATATCACATTTTCTGTAAACATGAATAGTCATATTTTCGTAAATTTACCCCCAACTTCAATCACTTCCAGTGGTACTTTTTTACAATAAAGCATATGAATATTTCTTAATTGTGTTTGTAGATGTGATATTTAACTCTTTATTATTAAAATTTCAACTAAATGGACAACAACTCATGGAGATATTAGATTTTTATGTTAGTGTTCTGTAGACAGTTCTTCCGTAATTCTTCGTGATAAAAGTGCTGAAAACTTATGGTACCCATCCTGATTTACGTATGTTCAGTCAAAGAGGGTGCTGCATATTAACAAACATGTTTGGAAACTGATTGAAATTTTTCTTTTCAGAATTTGACACATATTAGACTAAAACTCATCAAGATATTGAATTTTTTCATTTAACTCTTGTATAAAACCGTCTTTTCTTAAAATGAACATAAGAATGCTGACATACAGTGATCTTTATGAAAAAAAACCACTATGCTAATCTCAAGACATGTAATAACAAAACTTTTAGCTTGAATACTCTGCTATTCGAATCTAGATTTTTATGCAAAACAGACACGAACTCGCAGAGATATCACATTTTCTGGAAATATTAACAGTCACGTTTTTGTGAATTTACCTCTAACTTCAATCACTTCTGGAGGCACTTTGGCCAAATTAAACCTTCATATATGCAATAATTGCGTTTGTAGATACGGTCTTTAACCCTTTATAGTTAAAAGTTTAGCCTGAACGAACTGATATTTATGGAGATATTTGATTTTTAGGTTAGTGTACTGTAGACAGTTTTTTTGTAATTCTTCGTAATGAAAGTGCTAAAAATTCATGATACCTACCCTAATTTTTGTATGTTTAGTCTAAACCTATTACTGCATATTAACAAACATATTAGAGAACAGGTTCGAATTTTGCTTTCTAGAGTTTAGCACATTTTGGTTTTGTTTTGGTGAAAATATTTAAATTTTACATTTGTATATTATAGACATTTCTTTATTTATTAATAAAAAAAAATTCTAGTAAGTATTTAATTGCCTACTAGAATTTTCTTTACGTAAAATTAAAAATGACAAGAACAATAACTTCTAAAACCCATCTTTAAAAATTTAATTTTACTTTATATGAAAGGCTTAACACTATTCATAAATATATTGATAATATTATTAAAAAAAAAACATGCCATTTTTCATGAATGAAACTTCAACTTGAACTAAATTACAAGTCTTCAGAACCTGACGTCATCATAGTCAAGGTTTTGCTAAACTTAAAAAAGACAAACAATTAGAAGTTGGTTATTACAATTTTGATACTAAAGAGAGTGCTGGAGTAAAAAAAAATATTTCAAATAAATCTTCATCTAGACTTTGCTAATAGAACAGATGATCAATGCTTGGCATATACAGGAAAAGATTATGATAGATATAAAAATCCTAAACATCAACCATGCAAATGTGATTTTTTTGATCTTTTCAAAATATGCAAAAAGTGTAATGAGTCTTGTGAAAGACTATTTGCTCGAATTAGTAAAGATACTGAAATTGCTGGTCCTTGAGAATGGATTTTTAATGAATCTAACTGTAATTCAAATTTAGAAGATGAAGAACTTCAAACAAACCCTTATGAGATAGCAACTAAAGAAGTACTAAAAGGAGCAGACATTGATAAAGTGATCACTAAATATGCATCTTCTTGTAAAAAGTGGTTACAAACACCTCAAGAATTAGAAAGAATTGCTAAAGCTATCAAGAAACAAAAAATTAATTCTTTAAAAAATATTAAACGATTTTGAAAACCATGTATAATCTATATCTATAGAGATACTGAAATAGAAAAAAGTAAACTTTGCAAAGATTTATTTTCTGGAATGTATGAAAAAGATGATATTAAGCAATTTGAAGAATATAATAATGAAGAATTTAATTATAACTGTGATAATGCAATTTTGTTAGATGATTTTTATGGATTAAATATTAAGTGGACAAATTTTTTAAGATTAACTGATCGTAATCATTGTAGAATAAATGTCAAATATGAAAAAACACATATTGTAGCTATGTATATTTGTATAACAGCAAATAGCCTAATTAAAAATCTTTATAAAAAATTATAAGAATCTAATTCTTCTATTAATATTGATGTATTTATTCGAAGAGTTAGATTTATAATCAAATTTGAAAGCAATCCTATAGATACAAATAGAAAAGGAAATATTATCCCTTAAATTGTAACACAGGCAAATTTGCCTGTGTTTTTATTAAAAAGTTTAATTTTTTTAATAAAAA